AGAAGATTTTAAAACAGAACCATAGACCACATCATTCACATCAAGGAGCAGATGTTGGGAAAAAAGCCAACAATTTGCAAGTGTGTCATGCATGTGAAGAAACCGGAAAAAGAGGCACTAATTAAAATAACAAAGAGCTTCACTCTGCACGTGGACAGTTGTGTACAGAGTGGTTAGCCTGGGTAACTCACAATGTAAATAATACTGCATTATCAATTTTTTTACATTGAAGGGGGACGTTTGGATGGAAATGCAATACTGAGCTAATGTCCTTCCTGGTTTTCCATAGTTCTGTGACTTATGCTATAAGGCACACTTACTGCAGGAATGAATCTCACAACCAGTTCTACAAAATACAGAGAACAGGCAACAGTGTACTCCTTGAACATGTGAAAACAGTGCCCATCCCATGGACAGATTGTCTCTCATTCCTCTTTGCCATTTGCACTTTATGGGCTTCGGTCACAGACAGCCACTCTCCCATCAGCCAATGAGGCTGTACCACGCTCTTCACCCACAGACTGCCCCCTCCCCTTAGCCATGTGACCTACACCATGATCCACGGACCCTAACCCTATCGCCTTTCTACCCTTCAATGCCTCAACTGTACTTGAAGAGTTTATAATACAAGTAATTGCAATGATGATTTAAAGCTGTATCACTATAAGGACAAAGTACCAAGTACTTATGCAAAAGGCCAGGTAGAAGTGTAGGTTGCCCCGTACATGCTTGGTATATGCAGTGAAGACTTTCACAATTGGGCAGACATTAATTGGAAAAACTGACTTAATTTTGGTGAGTGTACTTTTAATAATGTTAGTATATATCGATAAGCTTCTCGACTTACATTATGAGGTCAGAGAATGTAGTTGTTAAAGTTTACCTTAACAGTGAGATTCTGATTTTTTGGCTCACACCTAATAAACTTCAACTGCCCACCACTCTTCTCATGTCCTCGGGAATGGAATATTCTGCCCTTACATTATACCAGTTGCATTTCCAAATGGATGAATTAATATACTGTAACTCTACCCAGAATATGCCCATAAACATTTTTTACCATGGAATTAGTAGCAGAAAGCAGGCATAAAATTTCATTTCAATATTAATGTTATATACATTACTTCCTATTTTCAATGCATAGTTCTCTGTTTCATCATTTTGTCCATTTAGTTTGGATTTTCAGGACTATATTAGGATTTTACCATATTAAAGATCCTGGTCAGCTAAATCAACAGTTTGCATTTTGTTTTTCACTTAAATTTAACCTGGCCTCGAACATGCAGAAGGAGGATAGAGAATGGCTGCCATTGTGGCTTCCTTGTTCAGGCCCAGATTACAATGGTATTGGGGATCCATTGATGTAAGAGGACATTGATTTACATATATTCGTGAGATTCCAACATTTAGGTCAAATCTATTTTTCCTTCTGATGCTTTCTTTTTCCCTGTAAGGCATGCGTGACTTTATTTTGTTGATAATGCTATTGAGCTTTTACATACCACATAATGACGAGCTATCCTAATTATCCACTTGCAATTAGCATTGTTAGGATATAGCCCTGGGAAATTTGGAGAGGCAAAACTTCCAATTTTGTCTGACAGCATGTGTCCACAATCATCTGAAATAAGAAAATAATTTAAAAGAGTGTTTATGACACTACGGGCTTGATTTTTAATCCAGCCCCGGATAAGTTTTGAGTACTATCTCTACTCTGCATCTATGTCATTTCATGCCACATACAGAAACTGTGATTGGAGGTGTGAAACTGGCAACATTGGAAAGAGTGTGAAGTCAAAGTAACTGAATGTAAAACCACCTAGAAACCGATATTCATTTCAAGCCCACCGACTCCCACAGCTACCGAGAATACTCCTCCTCCCACCCACCTTCCTGCAAAAATGCTATCCCCTATTCCCAATTCCTTTGCCTCCGCCGCATCTGCTCCCAGGATGAGGCATTCCACTCCCGTACATCTCAGTTGTCCCCGTTTTTCAAGGACCGTAACTTCCCCCCTCGGTGGTCGAGAACGCCCTCAACCTTGTCTCCCACATCTCCCGCAACTCATCCCTCACACCCCGTCGACGCAATAAGAACCAAAAAAGAATCCCCCTCGTCCTCACGTACCACCCCACCAACCTCCGGATCCAACGCATCATCCTCCGACACTTCCGCCATCTGCAATCCGACCCCACCACCAAAGACATCTTTCCCTCCCCACCCTTATCTGCTTTCCAGAGGGACCACTCTCTCCGTGACTCCTTGTCCGCTCCACACTCCCTTCCAGCTCCACCACACCCGGCACTTTTCCCTGCAACCGGAGGAAGTGCTACACCTCACCCCCATCCCAGGCCCCAAGAAGACTTTCCACATCAAGCAGATGTTCACCTGCACATCTGCCAATGTGGTATACTGCATCCGCTGTACCCGGTGTGGCTTCCTCTACATCGGGGAAACCAAGCGGAGGCTCGGGGACCGCTTTGCAGAACACCTACCCTCGGTTCGCAATAAACAACTGCACCTCCATCTCCTACTGACCAACCTCATCCCGCCCCCTTGACCTGTCCGTTCTCCCTAGACTGACCTATCCCCTTCCTAACTCCCCACCTACACTCACCTTTACTGGCCCCATCCCCGCCTCTTCGACCTGTTTGTTTCCTCTCCACCTATCCTCTCCTCTATCCATCTTCTTTCCGCCTCCCACTCTCTCCCTATTTATTTCAGAACCCCCTTCCCCTCCCCCTTTTCTGATGAAGGGTCTAGGCCCGAAACATCAGCCTCTCTGCTCCAATGATGCTGCTTGGCCTGCTGTGTTCATCCAGCCCTGCACCTTGTTGTCTCGAATGTAAAACCTTAGACTGTTTGTTTATAGGTGAGTGATAGGATTGTCGTGAGTTGATGCAAGGGGAATAAGGGAGTAGGGTGTCAGGTTTGTGATGGGGTTGGGTTGAAAGCAGATGAGGGAGGTAGGTGGGTGCTGGCTACATGTGTTGTGCAGTTGGGGCCACTAAGGTGTCAAGTGGGTGAGGCAGTTCAGGTGCGAGTTGAGTGGAGGGTCAATTGACAGATAGGTAGGGGATAATTTGGCAGGTGAATGGGGGAATTAGGGTGTTATGTGATTGAGTGGTAGGGTGATAGATGGAGGAAATACAATTACCAGTTGGATAGAGAGGTAGAGTGGCAGGTAAACAGGTGAATGTTTGGCTGAGTCTACAGCAGACATAGTCGAAGTGATGAATGTAATTTATTTTAAAGCATGGTCAGAAGCTAGCAAAAACATAAAAACAAAAATATTTGAATGAAAGTATTGCCTGGTCCATGTAAAAAAATGTCAAAGGGTTTTTAATAATTTTTTTAGAAAGATTATTTATTGCGGATGGAGGGGGGAGACGTTGTTTGAAAATGCAACAAGTTGCTTTTAGCATTGAGAATAGCCTCACCTGAGTCCTCATGCAATTGTCCCAGATTTCTTGCCGTGTCACGTGTTACTGAGGGGCTTGTGACATTCAGCCCTAGTTTTATTAATGGACGAATGGAGCTAAAAAATAGAAAATAAAGACAGAAAGTATTGGAGAAACTCAGCAGGTCTGGCAGAATTCGTGGAAAATCAAGGTTAACAATTTGAGTTCAAAATGACTCTTCTTCAGAACTGAGTTCTAGCACTTTGTGTTTTTGTTCCCAATCTCTAACATCTCCAGTACTTTGCTTTTGCTGAAAGGTAAACGACAGCAAATGGAGCATAAAACAGAAAATGTGATTAACAGATGTTGCGCTGGTGGCCTTTTAAATCTTAGTATCAAATTTCCACTGTGGGCCAGAGAAGGCTGTCACTGAGAATGGAGTGGGAGCAGGAAGCCAGTGTAGTGATTGTAACGAGGTCAGCCAGCTTGACCTCATAATATGAGTTCCCTGATTGGGGCTGTTAATCTGGTCCAATGAGGGAGCTCTGGCTGACAGATAAAAAACAGGTGTGTCAAAGGTTCTGCTTACTCAGAGCTGGCTCTGAGGATGCTGGATCAGTGTCAAGGACTTGTCACGTGTAAATACAGGGTGACTTGGTGACAGGATACCATCCTCTGTGGAGTTATTTCAGTTGTGACGAGAGTGGGATACATCCGTTGGAAGATAAAACAAGGGCGATCAAAGTTGCCCCAACTCCCATGTCTGTACCGACACTTAGGTCTTCCCTTGGGTTGGTGGACTATTACGGGAAGGTCATATATAACCTGACCTCCATCCTGATACTGTTCCATCAACTCTTAAAAACGGGTCAGCCTTGGAAATGGTCGCATAGTCAAGTCAGAGCTTCTAGGGAAGTGAAGAAACAAATATCATCTTCTCAGGTGTCGGCACACTATGATTCCAAGCAAGATTTGGTATTGACATGCAATTCCTCCTTGTGCTGCATCAGGATAGTATTAGCTCATAGGTGGTCATAGTTGGAGTCAGGAAGTTCCAAAAATACCTTTATGGACCTAAATTTGTCATAATAATGGACAACAAACCCCTGCTAGGTCTACTTAAAGAGGACAAGGTGGACCTGTTCATAGCTTCAGGTCAAATTCAGCAGTGGGCTCTAATACTAAGTACGCATAGTTACAAGTCAGAACACCTTCCGGGAGGCCAAGTAGCAAATGCGGATGCACTGAGCCGCCTCCCACTGGCAGATACACCACTGGTGGTACCACCATTGAAAGAATCCATAATGGTTTTAAATTTTCTGGACACACTTCTGGTCATAGCTGACAATATCAGACTTTGGATGAAGAGAGATCTGTTCCTGGCAAAACTGAAGCAGCTGGTGGTAATGGGGGAAACCAAAGGGCAATCACAACCAGAATTAAAATCTTTCTGGACCTGGAAAGACCAGATCACAGTAGAGGATGGCATATTATTATGGGGAGCAAGAGTGATTGTCCCAAGCAAAGGTCACCGCCAGACACTGGCTGAACTCTACCTGGGTCATCCAGGGTTTCCAAAATGAATATGTTGGCAAGAAGTTATGTCAGGTGGCCAGGATCGGTAGCAAACATGGCTGCATTGGTGGGCAAAGCCCAGACTGCCAATGAGGGCAAAAAGTATCACCAACAGCTCCCCACTTTTTTGGGACTAGCTGCTAAACCCTGAACTTAGTTACATGTCAACTATGCAGGTCCTTTCATGGGCTCAATGTTCTTAGTCATTGTGGACAACCACTCAAAGTGGTTGGACATGCACAGGGTTCATTCATCAAACACGGGTGCAACAAGAGAAAAACTGCACACTTCTACTGCAATACATGGACTCCCGGAAGTGATGGTCACAGATAATGGACCATCGTTTACCTGCAGGGAATTTGAGTACTTCCTAAAGTCAAATGGTATTTGTCAAATAAGAATAGCTCCATACCATCCATCATCTAATGGTCTGACAGAAACAGCAGACTAAACTTTGAAGAAAGGCTTAAAGAAACAGCCTACAGCTTCACTAGAAACCAAAATGTACTGGTTTCTATTTGATTATAGGACCACCCGTCATGTTGTTGTTAATGGGGAGAAAATTCTGCACCAGGTTAAATCTGATCTTCCCGGGCCCGGGGCCTGGTGTGTGTGTGTGTGTGTGTGTGTGCGCGTGTGTGTGTGTGCGCGTGTGTGTCTGTGCGCGTGCACGTGTGTGTCTGTGTGCGCGCGTGTGTATGTCTGTGTGTGTGTGTGCGTGTGTGGTGGTGAAATGGCATCAGGAACACCAATACAAGACTCACTTCAGGGGACAAAGTTTGGTGCAAAAGCCACAGGAATGGCCAATGGGTAAGAGACATGGTCGACACGAGGTCAGGTCCAGTGGCATATAAAGTTCGGGTAGGTGCTGCGGACCTGAAAAGCATGTAGACCATATGAAAGCTGCAAACTCACAAATGGTGCGGAAGCAAAACATGCTCGACTTCGTGTCTTTCTGACTGTTCTGGAACTGATAGGTTCTCCCTCTCTGTCCAGTGTTGAAGACACCTCAGAATCAGAGTTCGATAAGGCAGATGTTACCTCCTTGATGCCTTTATCTCCTGAAGGGGAGAGTGAATTTCTTCCGAGATGTTCCAGGTGCAAGAGGCAAGCTACTGTGTATTACACGCTACCCATATCAGAGGCAGAGTTGGAGGAACCTAACCCCGGTGCTAAAATGACTCAGGCAGAGCTATAGAAAAAAGAACCGGCCTATGTCCTCAGACTCAGAAGGTGAGGATGTAGTGTTTGTAATGAGGTCAGTTGGATGGATCTCATAGAATACGAGTTTCCTGACTGGATCTGTTAGTCTGGTCCAATCAGGGAGCCCTGGCTGACAGATATAAACAGGAGTGTCAGAGGTGCTGCCCACTCTAACAGCCGGCTTTGAGGAAGCTGAATCAGTGTCAAGGGCTTTCCACGCATAAATATAAAGGTGACTTGGTGACGGAATATTGGCCTCTGTGGAGTTATTTCAGCTAGGAGGTCCAATTCCTACAGTCTGCCCATGATAGAAAATGTTGAATAATCTTACATGGTGGTCAAGTTCAGTGAATGCATTTGCTAACAGTGTCTCTGCCTACCACACCAACTCTCATTCTGCTCAGTGTCCACAACACCATCACTCACCCTCATAAACTTAATAATTCCCATGCAGTAGAGAAGGACACTAACTCTCCTGCATTTAATGTTGTGTCAAATCCTGAAATTGTTCAAAATCTTATAAATTGTGCTTTCCACATTTGCCAATATGTTGATTTCCCAAATGGATCTGGCACCTCTTTTTCTGGTGGAAAGCTCAGAAGAGGTAAATTTTGTTGCATTGGCTGATAATTGATTATGTTTCTGATCTGGATGATCGTTTTCAGAATGTTAATGTCCTTGTAGAACATTAATTTTGTTGACTTGTTGTATTTTTAGTCAATTAACATTGTTATTAAATCTTTATTGTTGTAAAGATTGTCATTGTTATACTAAAGCTGAACTGAAAAAGTTTCTGCTGTTCGAAATGCTATTTCAGTTTTTCTTTACCAACATGGAGATGAATGAAGACATTTATTTTCTAAAATGGCTAAAGGATTGGTAAAATATATGTGGTTAACAACTTTCTCAAAAATGGTTTCAATCAATAAGATGTCATGATTTTTTGACTGTATTAATGATGACTGCTATGATGTTTCCCCACAGTGAACTTTCTTCTGCATTTGAGTTACTTCTATGTTAAATTTGAAGCCACATGAACAGGTTCACACTCAATTTCTTTATTTCCACTTTGTTGACTTTTATTGATGGAAATTGAGAAAACATTGAAGTAATAAAGATTTAACTAACTTTACAGGTTTCTGAAACTTCTGAGTCTAGTAAAAGATTTTTATTCCTAAGTACTTTAGTCAAATTATTTTGAGCTTATTTCTGAAGAATTTTCTTAACTTGCTTCTTGTTAACTTTATAGTTGAGTAAATACTTTAGAAATTGCTAAATCAGTGTTGGAAATCTCAACTTTGTTTCCCAGCCTAATTTTTTAAGTGGAAATGAAACTTTTTTTCTCTCCTTGAAGGGACTGAATCCGATTTGGGTATGCAGTAATTGGCCTTCATTGCTTGGTTTGGTTTTATCTGCTAGGATGCTTGTGGGCTTTTAATGCTTTCTCTGCTTTTTGTTCTTAAGAAAAGTTTCCCCGTTACAGATTGTAAAAGGCTTTTGTTTTTGCTGGTTTCTCTGCAAGAGTTTTCTGTTCAGAATTCTCTCTTTGTTCTTCGTAACAGTTGCTCAGCTCTATGAATTTTCTAGCTGCTACCTGGTGTTAAAGCTGCACCAATTTATTTTTGAAAAAAATGATGTTTTAAATTATTTTCTGCTCCAAACAATCTCACATTTGTTTCCTGATTTTTACCACTGCTATGATTTTCTGGGTAGTGGAGCCTGTCACTACCATCATCTTTTGATGTGCGGTTTTAAGTGCACATTCATGAATTTGAGTTCATGACAGACTAGTTGAGGAGAAGGCAAGGTCAAGAACTGTTTTCAGGCTTAGGCTTCTATCTAAAACAGTAATATTAAGATTAGTTACCACAATATATGGTGTTCAAAGATATATAAGGTTCTAATCTTACTGTTCTAATATTGAAAGACTATTTAATAAACTCTACCACCAAATGCTAGTTGGTTGACTCTGCATGCTGCTCTGCATGGATTTCTAACATTTATTTGGCTGGATTTTAGGCTTTTGCCTAACTTTTCCTGTGTTCCTCAAATGCAAAACAAGGATGCCCATACCAGATTTTCCTTCAATTTAATATATATAAATTTCTTCATACCTGCACTTGTCCAATTAATAGTTCTTCAGGTCACCAGCAGAGCTATGATGTATCCCTAAATTTACACTCCAACTCATGCACGGCACTGGGAGATATTAAAATCAAAACTTACGCACCTTTACAAAGCAGGAACTATTTACAAAGTTACAAAATATCTACAGCACATTATCAGGCCATTTGGCACAACTGATATTAAATCATTTGCTGTCTTTCTACTAAGAGAGGTTTGTTGAGTTGGGAAATTTCCCACTTGAGTTGTCCACCTTGACAGCAAAAATCCAGCCTTAAGAATCTTCAAGTTATTGAGGAAGACCAAAGGGAAGTCCATTGCTGTTTTTTTCAAATAGTGTTATGATTTAATCATATCCACTGAGAGATCAGACGATTTAACACCTCATCTAAACAAGGCAGCAGTCCCTCAATACTACATTAGACTTTGAGCGTAGATTTTGAGAGATTATTACCACTTATCCACAGCTAACACCAAAATATTTACGCTTTGTTGTGAAGGAGGCTGACACAGTGAGGGCTCAGGACATATTGTGGTCAGAGAAATTTGATCTGTGAGTGTGCCTGCAAAGTCAAATTAGTCTATTTTAATCTAGAAGTGGTGACAAGCACACATTTTCTCTTTCTTTTCTGACTCATTTGTAGTCCCTTTCTCTGTTGATGATTTTGCAGAATACTTTAAGTTTAAAAGAAATAGAGAGATGGCCAAGAAAGGGTCTTAATTTGCAATGGCAGTTGAGCCCACATTAAGTGCAAGGTAGCTTTCTAATTAAATTGAAATACCAACCTAACAGGGTGTCAATGTGAGATAACAAGGTGTAGAGCTGGATGAACACAGCAGGCCAAGCAGCATCAGAGGAGCAGGAAGGCTGACGTTTTGGGCCTAGACCCTTCTTCAGAAAAGGGTGTCAATGTGGCTCGAAAATATGGTTTCTATTCCACCCTTCATATCTGTGAGGTTGTTCACCCCAACTCTTCCTACACAGCCTTTGCAAAGACTGTTGGGATTTGCCATATACTGCTATCATAAAAAGCTCATTAAATTTATGCCTTCACATATGCTCATTTTGCTCATAAATGCATTCCATTAGCTGTCAGCTACAGACTTATCAAGATTCCCTTCCCTTTAAGTAAGTTCCCTGCATAAAGTTAGATCTCTGCAGGAAACTTTGTCAGCAAACTGACATCGTAAAGTCACATAAGATCAAAACTGGCTGATTTTGAGGAGCATTACAGTTCCTGTATCAGTTCCTCAGATACCACAGTTATTCTACTCTAACGAGTGTACTGTAAATTTTCCACATACCACAGTTATATAATTTGTTAATCTTGGCAACATCTTTCATGGAAAGCCCTCGAATTTGTCCAATTTCAATGTTGGGGTCTGGTATTGGTAGGATTGTTGGAAACCCATTTCTGGAAAAAACAGTTCTGGAATAAAAAATAATGAAGTTATTTAAATTTCATCATTTATGTCATTATTTTGATCTTCATTGATGAATTTTAAATTTTGGGTAACCTCGTGGCCAAAACTATGGTTTTTTTTTAATGTGGCAATGTGACGTCATCCACCTTGTCCTCAAGAAAGATAAATCAGAGTATTTTCTAAATAGTAAGAAACCAGGGGCTCTGGAGGAGCAAAAATATTTGGGAACAAAATACATGGATTATTCAAAGACAGTCGACAGGTACAAAAAACAATTAAAACGCCTTATGAAATGTTGACTTTTATCATAAAGAAATGGAGATTATGTTTTAATTTTTCTAGACCTGATAATTCTAAAGTTCATATCTGTAATAACACTCATTTTTGGGCATTGTTCAGAAAGAATGTAAGAACAAGTACACTTAAGAGGGAAATCAGGAGGGCAAAAAAAAATGGACATGAGCTGGTTTTGGTAAATAAGGTTAAGGAAAATCCAAAGAGATTATACTATTACATCAAGGGCAAGAGTGACTAGGGAGAAAATAGGGCCGCTTAAAGGTCAACAAGACTGTCTGTGCGTGGAACCGCAGAAGATGGCAGATACTAAATGAGTATTTCATGTCAGTATTTATTGTGAAGAAGGATATTGAAGGTAGAGAACTTGGAGAAATAAACAGTGATGTCTTGAAAAGTGTCCATATTACCGAGAAAGTGGTGCTGGCCTTAAAATTCATAAAGGTGGATAAATCCCTGGGATCTGATCAGGTGTATCCCACAACTTTGTGAGAAGCTAGGGAATTCTTTCTTTTATATATTCATTTGTGGGATGTGGGCATCGCTGGCTGGCCTGCATTTATTGCCCATCCTTAGTTGTCCTTGAGAAGGTAGTAGTGAGCTGCCTTCTTGAACCGCTGCAGTCCACCAGCTGTGGGTTGACCCACAATGCCATTAGGGAGGAATTCCAGGTGGAAAATAATTGCTGGGCCCCTTGCTGAGATATCTTTATCATCAACAGCCATAGGTGAGGTGCTAAAGATTGGAGGGCAGCTAATGTGGTGCCACCATTTTAAGAAAGGTGGTAAGGAAAAGCTAGGGAACTATACACTAGTGAGCCTGACATCAGTGGGTAAGTTGTTAGAGGGGATTCTGAGGAACAAGATCAACATATATTTGGAAAGGCAAGGACTGACTAGGGATTGTCAATATGGCTTTGTGTGTGCGAAATTGTGTCTCACTAACTTGACTGAGTATTTTGAAGAAGTGAGAAAGAAGGTTGATGAAGGCAGAGTGGTGGGCGTTGTCTATATGCACTTCAGCAAGGCACTCAACAAGGTTCTGCATGGTAGACTGGTTAACAAGATTATATCATATGGAATCCAGTAAAAGCTAGCCATTTTGACACAAAATTGGCTTGAAAGGAGGAGGCAGAGGGTGGTGGTGAAAAGTTACTTTTCAGACTGGAGGCCTGTGATCAGTGGCGTGCCGCAGGGATCAGCACTGGGTCCACTGCTTTTTGTCATTTGTTTAAATGATTTGGAAGTGAATATAGGAGGAATGGTTAGTAAGTTTGCAGATGACACCAAAATTGGTGGTATTATGAACAGTGAAGAAGGTTATTTCGGAGTGCAATGGGACATTGATCAGATTGGCTGATGGGCCAAGGAATGGCAAATGGAGTTTAATTTAAATAAATGTGAGGTGTTGCATTTTGGTAAGACAAATCAGGGCAGGGCCTAAACACTTAATGGTAGCATCCTGGGGAGTATTGCTGAACAAAGAGACCTTGGGGTGCAGGCTTATAGTTCCTTGAAGGTAGAGTCACAGTAGACAGGGCAGTGAAGAAGGTGTTTGGTACACTTACTGTTATTGGTCAGTGCATTGAATATAGGAGTTAGGATGTCATGTTGCAGCTTTACAGACACTGGTTAGGCCACTTTTGGAATACTGTTTTCAATTGTGGTCTCCCTGCCACAGGAAAGTTGTTGTTAACCTTGAAAGGGTGCAGAGACGTTTACAAGAATGTTGCCAAGATTGGAGGGCTTGAGCTATACAGAGAGGCTGAATAGGCTGGGGCTTTTATCCCTGGAATGTCAGAGGCTGAGGGGTGACCTTGTAGAGATTTGTAAAACCATGACGGGCATGGATAGGGTGAATAGCCAAAATTTTTTTCCAAGGGTAGGGGAGTCCAAAACTAGGAAGCATAGGTTTAAGGTGAGAGGAAAATGATATAAAAGGGACCTACGAGGCTACTTTTTCATGCAGAAGGTGATGCATGTATAGAAGAGCTGCCAGAGGAAGTGGTGGAGGCTAGTACAATTGCAACGTCTAAAAGGCATCTGGATGGGTAGATGAATAGGAAGGGTTTAGAAGGATATGGGTCAAATGCTGGCAAATGGGACTAGAGTAATTCAGGATTTCTGGTTGGCATGGATGAATTGAACAGAAGGGTCTGTTTCCATGCTGTACAACTCCAAGGCTCTATGAGGGGCGGCAAGGTGGCTCAGTGGCTAGCACTGTTGCCTCACAGCGTCGGAGACCTGGGTTTGATTACACCCTTGGGCGACTGTCTGTGGGGAGTTTGCACATTCTCCCTGTGTCTGCGTGGTTTCCTCCAGTTGTTCTGGTTTCCTCCCACAATCCAAAGATGTGTAGGTTAGGTGGTTTGGCCATGCTAAATTGCCCATAGTGTTCAGGGATGTGTAGGTTAGGTGCATTATGAGGGATGGGTCTGGGTGGGATGTTCTGAGGGGTGGTGTGGACTTGTTGGGCTGAAGGGCCTGTTTCCACACTGTAGGGATTCTATATATTCTATACATGAATGGTACAGCATAGATACATCAGAACGATATGAGGCTTACAAGGACAAGCTAATAGGCAATACTAAAGAGTGACCTGACCATTATATTTGAAATGCTAAAAGGATTTGATGAGGTAAAATCAAGGAAATATTTTTGGAGTGGATGAACCCCAAAATTAAATCAGGTGGCACAATCTTAAAATTAGAGTTAGACCTTACAACAATTTGCAGTTATGCATCACTTTTAATGTGGCTACAACATCTCAAAGTGTTTCACAGTAGTGTTGTCAATCAAACTTTGCTACCAAACCACATAAGGTGGATTTGGGAGATAACCAGAAGTTTAGTAAATCAGATAGGTTTAAATGGCTGTATTAAAGGAAGAAAAACAGATAGAGATATGGAAAGGAAGAAAAGCAAATTCCAGAGTTGTGGCTTAGGCAGATGAATGGTAGACAAATAAAAATCAGGAATCTGCAAAGGCCAAAGTTATAGAAGCAGAGATCTGTGTCTCAATATTCTCATCGTGTAACACAGCGTGACACTGAGACATTACGGCTGTGTCTTTAATTGAATGCAACACAGTAAAAATCTGATAGAAGAAACAATAAATTCAACATCAAAAGTTTTTTTTGGATTTAGGGATGATATTTTCTAACTAAGTAAGGGATGCACCCAGCTAACTTTGTCCATTACACTTTTGGTTCCAAACCAGAAGTAGGGTCTCTCATCAACTTGGCATTCACTCACTGCTCCAACCTGGTAGATTTGGCATCGTCCCTTCCAGAGCTGACTGATGACACACGCCTGGTTATAGACTGCTGGGCTGTCCAATTGTTTTGCAGTAAGTCACACTGACTCCACTCAGTAAAGGTGCTGCTTTCTCGATAACCATCTTCTCTGCTGCTCTTGTTTTTAGTTTCCAATAGGAGGGACTTTACTGGCTTTGGTGCAGGGACTTCAGGGGGTGCTCCAGTGTGACTCTTAAGTCCATAGGATTGTAGGCTTCGAAGAGTCATAGTCATACCAGCACGGAAACAGACCGTTTGGTACAACCAGTCCATGCCGACCATAATCCCAAACCAAACTAGTCCCACCTACATGCTCCTGGCCCACAACCCTCCAAAACTTTCTTATTCATAAGGTTATGAGAAAGGAGATGATTAGGCCTTTGAAGGATTTGAAAATATGGAAGTGTGTTTTAAACTTGAAGCATTGTTAGACCAGGAATCTACATAAGTTAGTTTGCATGAAGGCGATTGGTGAATAGTGACTGTGAGTTACAATATGATCAAAAAAACCTTTCAAAGAGTTAAAGTTTACAAAGATTGCAAGCTGAGGAGTAGCACAGACATGAATGAGGAGATTGAGCAGCAGATAAGTTGATGTAGAGCAAGAGATGGATGATGTTACAGAGATGGAAGTAGTTGGTTTTATTGATGAAAAGTATATATGTTTCGAATTTCGGCTCTGGTCAAACAGGTTGCCAAACTTGAGAACGCTTTGGTTCAGTCTTACACAGTGGCTAGGCAGGGGAAATGGAGTTAGGAACCAAAGAAAAAAAATCTGTGTTTGCTATCACAGATATCATTATGAACCATTATGGATTCCTGTCTACTGTCTTTGATGGTAGGTAGCACATTTTTCATTATTCTGGTTGCAATCATGACTCTTTCCTCTTGAGCCCATCCTATGTGCAGCCTTTGTTACAACTCGCATTTTAATTACAGGTTGGCTACTTGGTGAGGATGACTATCTGCTATGGATATAGATGTAAGATATCAAAGTAAAGTTGTTGAAGCACTGGTCCTTCCTACCGCATGAGCCACAAGCGCATAAGGAATAATAAGAAGTGAAGGCAGATGCAGGAGAGACACCAACTAGTACGGCTCCTACTGCCAGAGCTTTCACTTTATCCTAACCAACACTACCATTCTTAGTATACTCAGAGTCCTACAATCATTGCCACCGCCATCCAATTTCCTTCCTTCAGATCAGTTTTAATCTACTTCATTGTTATTTTAAGCAAGACTTAAAAATTTAGTACCAAAAAAAATTGTTGAATAATGAACAGAAATAATGTTGAATCCCACTTCTGCAGCCCTTAAATCCTGTTTTTTAATCACCTTTCCATTCTCCAATGGCTAGAGCTCGGAAATTACAAACCTACTCAAGTCGTATTGATGATATTTAAAATGGACATTATGA